AAAATGAACTTTTGGGACTTCATCAAGATCAAAACCTTCAACACAGCAAAGGAAACAGTCAAGAAAACAAAGAGGCAACCCATGGAATGGGAGAAGCCATTTGCAAAGGACAGTACAGACAAAAGGTTGATATCCATTTGTATGTCTTCTTTGGAGAAGTGTCTGTTTATGTCTTCTTTTTTTTTGTTGTGATTATCTGTTTTTTGTGTGTTGAGTTGGAGGATTTCTTTATAGATCTTGAATATCAAACCTTTGTCTGTAGTGTCATTTGTGAATATCTTCTCCCATTCTGTGGGTTGCCTCTTTGTTTTGTTGACTGTTTTCTTTGCTGTGGAGAAGATGTTCATCTTGATGAAGTCCCAAAAGTTCATTTTTGGTTTTGTTTCCTTTGTCTTTAGAGACATGTCATGAAAGAAGTTGCTGTGGCCAATGTCAAAGAGTTTACTGCCTATGTTATTCTCTGGAATTTTGATAGATTCCTGCCTCATGTTGAGGTCTTTCATTTATTTTGAGTTTAACTTTGTAATGGTGTAAAGAATGGTCAAGTTTCATTCTTCTATACATAGGTATCCAATTTTCCCAGCACCATTTATTGAAGAGACTGTCTTTTCCCGACTGGATATTTTTTTCCTGCTTTGTTGATTATTTGAGCATAGATTTTCATTTCTTGTTTTGTTGAGATACAAATGACATTAGTTTCATCTTTACAACATAATGATTTGTTATTTATTTATATTGGAAAATGATTACCACAGGAAGCCTTGTTAATTTCTGGCACCACAAATAGTTATAAATTATTTTTCCTGAGATGAGAACTTCCTAGATTTAAATTTTTTATTAACATATAATATATTATTTGCTCCAGGGGTACAGGTCTGTGATTCATCAGGCTAACACATTTCACAGCACTCACCATAGCACATACCCTCCCTAATGTCCATGACCAAGCCACCCTATCCCTACGCCCCCACCCCCCAGCAACCCTCAGTTTGTTTTGTGAGATTAAGAGTCTCTTATGGTTTGCCTCCTTCCTGATCCCATCTTGTTGAAATTTTTCCTTCCCTACCCCCCACTACCCCCACTCTGCCTCTCAAATTCCTCATATCACAGAGATTATATGACGATTGTCCTTATCTGATTGACTTATTTCACTCAGTATAACACCCTCTAGTTCCTTTCATGTCGTTTCAAATGGCAGGATTTCATTTCTTTTCATGGCTGCATAGTATTCCATCATACATATATATACCACATCTTCTTTATCCATTCATCTGTTGATTGACACCTAGTCTCTTTCCATAGTTTGGCTATTGTGGACATTGGTGCTATAAACGTTTGGGTGCATGTGCCCATTTGGATCACTACATTTGTATCTTTAGGGTAAATACCCAGTAGTGTGATTGCTGTGTCATAGGGTAGCTCTATTTTCAACGTTTTGGTCAAGAATTACTCTTGTAGCAACTTTGAAATATGTAACATAGTATTATTTACTATAGTCACATGGTACCTTACATACCATCACTTATTTATTTTATATCTTTGACCCCCTTCACCCATTTGGCCTACTGACCTACCCCCACACACCTCACAAGCACCCCACTAACCCCCATCTATGGCAACCACCCATCTGTACCTCGTGTTTGTGTTTTATTTATATATTTTTTTAAGATTCCACATATAAGTGAGATCACCCGGAATTTGTCCTTCTCTGACTTATTTTACTTAGCATAATTTATTCATTTCTTTTTAATCACTTATTTTAATTTGTTTATGAGTATAATACTGAGATACAAGCATGGTCACACACTCCACTGAGGCTGGGGCACAAATGTGGAAGAACAGGCAGAGCAGAGCCTGGGGCAGACCCCAGTACTTACCTGTGCCTGCAGATGCATTGAAGGTCAATGTCCCATTGGGCAGGGCCTGGCTTAGGTTTCTCAGCACATTCTCCAGGCCAGCGAGCAGGTTCGTGGCCACACAGTGTTGCTGTGAGCGGGGCAGGGCCTCCAGGTCCTCAGGGGTCTGCAGCAGCTCATCCACCCCCTGTACGACATCCTGGGGGAAAGCAGACACAGAAGTAGTGCATCATGGGCCTGACAGACTGCATGAAGAGGCTGTCCACTTAGCCTCAAAGTAAAGGTCCTAGAGACTATCTGTTTGGGGGAAAAGGTGGCACTGTTTGGGATTTCCGGGGATTGCCCCTGGAATCCAGCCACTCACGGTCAATCCTGCTCAGGAATGCCAAGGATGACATAAATCCAATTTCCATAAAAGTAAGATGAAAGGTTGTTAGTCGGTGCAGGTGGGTGTCTAATGGTGAGTACAAATACCTGGATGTCTGCTCTTCCCACCCACCTCAGGAGAAGCAGTGCCTCAGGGAGGCCACCATTGTGTTGGGGGTGACTCTTTCCACACCAAGGCTCTCCTGGGCCTTCATGAGATGCCTCCAACTTGTCTCCCCTGGATTCTGACCTTACCTGGATGGTGTCCTGGACAAAGGCTGGTATGAAATTTCTGCCCAGATCTTCGAATCTTTTAAAGAAGCGGGAGAGTCTCTGGGGAGAGGGAAGATGAGGAAGTCAGAGATCCTCAATATGGGTGTGGAATCTTGGGGAAAATGGCAACCAGGAGGGGTAGGGGGCTTTGAGGAAGGATTTCCTGTCTCCTAGTCCCTGCTGGGGCCACTCACCCGGCTCTTGATTCCACGGGGTGGGGTCCAGGTGGGGAAAAAGATGCCTGCAGGGGACAACAGCAGCTCATTAGGTGTGAAAGCATGTGTGTGTGTGTGTGTGTGTGTGTGTGTGTTAGGGGAAGGGGCCTGGGGTCAGGTCAGACCAGGGACTTTCCCAGGTGGTCATTTGGTTATTCAGGGACCCTAGTTTGGGTATAGAAGCATCAGGAAGGCCCCACTGACTCCTCCCTGGTGAGTGGCTGCCTTTTCTTATTCACACCGAGGTGTGCTATGGGTGAATGTGGTGCCCAGATGCTCAGCTGCCCAGATATGGATGGAATTGGCCTGAATTCTCCCTGTCTTCAGCTCCAGTTTTCTCAGTCTCCCTGGGCAGCTTTTAGCCAGGGTGGGGACAACATGGCAATATGTGTCCCAGCCTGAGCATTTGGACAAAGACCAGAGTGGGTCTTCTTGGGAACCACATTCAGGGAATATACCATATTTCCCAACCAGGATGCTGTCTGGCTCCCAGTGACAGCTTTTGTTTTAATTCCCTCAGGGCAACTGCTCACCTGCTTGTCCCCGATATCTCCCACTGCTATCTAGTCTAGATGGGAGCCCCTTCTCATCACCCAATTCTCCACGTTTGTATGGGGGTGCCTCCATGTTATTCTGCTTAGACTCCACACAACATCCTTCTGGGTCCTGGCCATCCGGTCTTCTCTCAGGATCAGGAACTGAAATTATTTGGGAGAGTCACGGTCAGCCTTGTGCAGGGAGACAGACAGAGTCCAAGCAGCTGAGAAGGGGGTTCAGGATGCTGAAATTGTTGGCCAGGGAGAGCACAGACCCAGGAAACAGGGCTGGCCCTCCCATCTTCCCCTTGTAGTGTTTCTGGATGGGTTCCCTGGGTCCAACATGGCCCAGAAGATCTGAGAGTTTTCCTGGCATGGCCAAGCCCATCTGGGCTCTGGTAGGAAAGTCTCATCCTCGTAGTCACTGATGATGGTGAAGTGGAGGGATTTTCCTCTAGAAACTGTGCTGTGAGCTACTGAAATATCTTGAGTGCCATCCTCTTTTTTTTTTTTTTAAATGTCACAAAAGTAAAATGCCAAAGAGCAAGGGGGATTCTTTGAACTTCCATAAGTGACCCTCTACAGAGAGTTCTGAGCCTTGGGGTTCAAAGAGGTACAGATGTCTGGGTAGGTTCTGAAGATGATTCTCTGATGCCTGGAGAAAGTTTTCTGAGTGACTCCAAACCTCATGGAGGAGGAGATGGAAGACACAAGTGGATTCTTACCTTGACATGTGTTCTCACTCTCATTCCTGAATGTTCTTGCCCCGGAAACAAGCTTGTAACCTGGAATGCATGTGCAGTAGTAGCTCCCCTCTGTGTTCTGGCAGTCTGCAAATTTCCCACAGGACACTGTCGAGGAAGGACCACACTCGTTGATGTCTGGAAAACAATAGGGCAAAGGGTCACCTCCCAAAGATGTGAGTTCCCATAGGGCAGAGACCCTGGCCTCCAGCCTGACTCAGCCATAGGTACTGGAGAGAACTCAGCTTGCAGGTGGCATTCCTGGGGCAGGTCTGAGCTGGAGACAGCTGCTCCAAATGCCTGCTCACTGCTCCACTCATCTTTGCTCTCTGGCTGGGCCTGAGGGCACCTAGATTCAGATACTCTGCTGTGCCATCATGGGGGCTGGAAGGAGGTCAACATACCCTTCTGCAGGTGTTGTGGGGTGGACTGAGGCACCGAATCTCTGCTTGGACTACTGGGGATCTGGGGGTGGGCTCCAGTTAGTGTGACAGTGGCACTGAAGGCCACTCTCGATGCTGAGTCAGTGAAGGGAGTCATGGCTGGAGTCTGTGCAGAGTAACACTCTTTCCTACCTGAGGGTAAAGCCAAGTGGTCTGGCCACTGCCCATTGGCAGCTTCCACCTCCCATTACTCACAGTAGCCCAAGATACCCCCAGAGTCCTCATCACCCACTGCCTCAGGCTCCCAATGTCAGGTACTTTTTTTTTTTTTTTATCTCCCAGGATATTTCTGTGTAAGTTATACTATCTCTGCTTCTGAAGGAGGTCCCCTCTTGTCAGAGACATTGGGAGTGTGAAATGAAGCTGCACAAAGTTCCTCACAGCTGAGTCATTGGTGATGTCTTCTGGCATCTTATCTCTCCCTATTTTTTAAACATGACTGAAAAGATGTCTGTTAGCCAGGTCCTCTTTGAGTAGCTCAGGGAGCTAGGGCTGGACACTGTCAGCTAAAAATAGCAACAGTTTTATAAGAACCATGGACATCAAAATGGAGGCACAGAATATTTGGTCCTGTACATTCCAAAACATTCAAAGTTTATTCTCTGCACCTGTGGACATTCCTTCTAAGACCCCAGACCAGGCTGTGGGTGTCAGCACCAGGACACAACAGGATGTTGGAAGACACACACCTGATGCATTCATATTCACCCCCACCTGTGCAATGGGACTGCCCTCCTCTCTTTTCAGATGGTGACAATGGCAAGAGAACTATCTCCAGTGTTGTGGGTTGGGGTGGAGTTGAGTGGGGGTTGATTGAGAAGGAGGTGCAAGGTGTGGAAGGCATGAGGACAGGAAACTCCTCAACCAGACAGACATGCTTCCAGAAAGGAGCTGAGAAGTTACATTAGTGGTAGGATCTCCTTGTCATATTCACTCAGTCAGAAGTCTCCATAAGACACACATGCAAATGCACAACATCTCTTTTTAAAAGTCTGATAGCATCTTTTCCCCAAGTACTAAATGACACATGGATCTTAGAAAATATGAAAAATGAGAAAATATGAAAAAGAAAATATGAAAAATGAGAACAAAGAAAATCCACCTGCAAGTCCACCATATATGGACTACTGGAAGATTTAGGATACTTTTTTCCTCAGCTTTTCAAACATACTAGGAACATTTTCCTTTATTATCAATAAATGTGCATCTAAGATGATTTAGTAGATGTAGAATATTTCTTGGTGTGAAAATTGTTTATTTCCCCTTTTCTCCACTAATTTTCTTTTTGTGGTAAAATGCCCTTAACATATAATATACCATGTTAACCATACTTAAGTCATGTAAATTTCTTTTTTAAATCTTGCATTGTTGAAGAATAAAAACTCTTCTGTTTTAGACGTTGATCTAGGTTCTACAATCTTATTAATTTTGATTTGGATAAATCAATCTCTTTGATCCCAATTATGATCATTTAAAAAAATGAATCCATAAAATTCATAGAAAAAAAAAGGTCTTTGAAATCAGTCTCAACACAGATTGCTTGGATTTGACTACAGAAAACAAAGATAAAGAAGGGGAATATGCCAAACCAGAAAGCTTTTGTAAAGCAAAGGAAACTATCAATAAAATGAAAAGGCAATCTATAATTTAGGAGAAAATATTCACAAATCATATATCTGAAAAGTGATTAACATCCAAAAAAAATATAAAGGACTCACTCAACACAATAGAAAAAACCTAAACAATCCAATTTAAAAAAATGGGTAGAGATCTGAATAGACATTTTCCACAGAAGACATACAAATGGCCAACAGGTATATGAAAAAGTACCCAACATCACTCATCATCATGGAAATGTGAATCCAAACCATAAGGTGGTATCATCTCACACCTGTTGGAATGGCAATTATAAAAAAGATAAGGAATTGCAAGTATTGGTGAGGATGTGGGCAAAAGAGAACCTTGTTCCCTATTGGAGGGAATGCAAATTAGTGCAACCACTGTGGGAAAAAGTCTGGAGGTTCCTCAAAAAAATTAAAAACAGAACTACTAAAAAAAAACAAAAACAAAACAAAACAAAAAAATGGAACTACTGTATGATGCAACAATTCCACTCCTGGGTATTTATTTGAAGGAAACAAAAACACTAACTTGGAAAGATATCTGCATCACAGTATTCATAACAGGCAAGTTCATTGCAGCATTTATGACAGGCAAGGTAGGGAAACAAAATGTTTCTATCAACGCATGAGTGGATGATGGAAAGTGGTGTAGGTACACAGGGGACTATCATTCAGCCATAAAAGTCATTTGCAACAACACAGATGGATCTTGAGGGCATTATGCTGAGTGAGATATGCCAGAGAGAGAAGGACAAATGACATATGATTTCACTTATATGTGGAATCTAAAAAGAAACTAACAAAACAGAACTCAGAATAGAGGAATGTAGGTGGGAAATAAAAACTGTGCTAGCTCATGGAACACTACATCAAAAACTAATGATATACTGTATGGTGACTAATGTAACATAATAAAACAAAAACAAAAACAAAAACAAAACACAAAAAAAAAAAACACCCAAAAAACAAGCCATGTTAGTTCTGCTTGCCTCATGGGGCTCCTGTGAGGAGTTAGGTGGGAAACCATGACCATGAAGGGGCAGGAGTTCCCAGTGAGCTTATGCTAGGAGACCCTGAGCTTCCAGGCTGCTTCCTCCTGCTGCTTCCATTACTCTCCCCTTTCCCTGTGCAATGAGTATAATCACAGTGATAACAGCAGTGACCATGATAGTAGCTTGTGTTTGACAGTCTGCTCTGTACTAGTCTTTACCAGTTCTTCACACATATGAATTTTAAATCTTACTCCATCCATGGAAGGTAGGTACAATGATTGTCTCCAATTTACAGACAAGCAAACTGAGGCAGAGAGAGGAGGAATAATTTCCTACATGTCAGATGTAATCAGCAGTGAGCTGGGCTTTGAACCCACGTAGCTCAACACTCTACCTGCTGATCATGAAAACCAGATTGTCCACTTCCCTTGTACTCCCCCTGCCCTGTCACCTCTCTCTTTTCCTTGATGAAGTGCTGGGTGCTGTTCTCAGTGAGGCTGAGGGCTTGGGAATGCCCCACCATCTCCCAACAACTGGGCAACTTGCCCCCCACCACCCCAAGTCCCTGTACCATCACAACTCTCCAACAGGCTGGTGAAGATCACCCCAGATGACGAAATGAATCCTGGGGAGCAGCGACAGGCAGTGGCATTGACACACGTGGATTTTGGAGGGCACCACTGGGCACAGTCTGTGGGGGCAGAGACTGAGGAGATGAAGACCACGGTCAGAGGGTTCAAGAAATGGAGGGAGCCAGATACTAGCTGAGAGTCCAGGGATAGAGCAAGGGGCGTGGGTAGGGAAGGGATTGCTATTACTGGAAGAGCTCAGAAAACTAGGGAGGAGGAATCGCTTCTTGTATACCCAGAAAGCATCTGTGAGCCTTACTTGTGAATAAGCTCCCTTCCCTACCTCTTGTTGGTGAGAAAACCCAGACCCCAGAATTCACTCCCTAGCTTATGCCTCCAGTGGGGTAGGCTGGGAAGACTCACCATTCAGCTTCTGTGCAGGCCCCAGTGTCAACAGCAGCATCACCAAGATCCCTGGGACAGAAAAGCAGACAACACAGGGAGGAGAGTCAACCCCAGTTTCAACCCATGACTGCATGGTCATTGCCTTCTGCAGCCCATGGCTTTCCAGCAGGATCCATGAGGCTCCTCTACTGCACACAGTGCCAAGACTCAGTCTGCGTCCCCTCCATCTCCCTGGACTCCCCAAGAAGTCAGTCAAGAATAACCACAAGGAAAACCTTCATGGAACCCCAGGTGCTACAGGTAAGGGGACAGAGTATACATGGACAGCTGATGTCAGTGACACAACATAGAAATTGAAACCTCTTCCAAAGGAGGGGAGAAAATCTTGAAGGAGAAACTCTTCCAATCCATGTGTCTTGCCCTTATATAGGTTCTTTGTTCTCTGGCAATAGCAGAAATCTGCTTGGAGAAGGCCTGCTTTCTCTTCCATGGTGAATGTGGCCTTTTCTATTTCACATGGATTATCTTATGAGATAAGGGTGTGACTAGATGTTCTGTTGTCCAGATGTGGATGGAACTGGTCCAAGTCCTCTCAGTCTGTCAGGCCTGGTGCCCTCAGATTTCCTGGGTGACTCCTAGAGGGGTGGGGACATCAAAGCTACCCAACCTGAGGATTTGAACAAGTCCAGGGTGGGCCTTCCTGGGAACCAAGTGCAGGGGAAATGCTATGTACCCCACCAGGAACTGTCATGGCTCCCAGCATTGGCCTTTGTCCTGACATTT